CATGGGCAGAGCGTGTGGCTCAGCTGGACATGGGCAGAGCGTGTGGCTCAGTTGGTCATGGGCAGAGCGTGTGGCTCAGCTGGTCACGGGCAGAGCGTGTGGCTCAGCTGGTCATGGGCAGAGCATGTGGCTCAGCTGGTAGAACATTTGCTTAATATGACCTGGGGGTTCCCTCCCAGGCACCACATAAGCCAAAGGTGGTGGTGCCTGTCTCTAGTCCCAGCACTTGGTAGGTCGCTGCAGGAAAATCGGGAGTTCAAAGTCATCCCAGCTACGCAGAGTTCGAGGTCAGACAGCTATGTAAGACTGTCTCGAAATCCGGTGATGGTGGCACACGCCTTTAATCCCAGCACTCAAGAGGCAGAGCCAGGCGGATCTCTGTGAGTTCGAGGCCAGCCTGGTTTACAGAGTGAGATCCAGGACAGGCACCAAAACTACACAGAGAAACCCTGTCTCGAAAAACAAAACAAAACAAAACAAAACAAAAAAAGACCATCTCAAAAACAAATCTAAAAGAGAATGGATGAATAGATAGGTAATAGATAGACAGATGAGATAAAAAGATAATGAACGACAGTGATCGTCCTTCAAAACAAAGTCAAATCTAGGAGAAGTGGACAGGCGTCGTGAGCACTGGGACTGTTAGAGGAGGAAGCAAGAGGACCCTTGGACACGAAGACTCAGGAAACATGGCGTCTGCAGCTGTGGGCATGCCACTGGCCAGCTGAGGCAGCAGCCCCCCAGCCAGGGGTGGGGAGCACAGCGCAGCCTCCAGAGGCGGTGACGTGACGTACCTCCTGGCCCCGATCGCTGTCCAGGAGTTCCTCGACCTCCTGGAATCTGAGGATGGTATGCTTGATCCGGTAGAAGAGGGAACGCTCCCAGCATATGGCGCCGGCCACCGGAGGGTGGTTCTTGTACAGCGGCGGGTTGTCCAGGTTGTACACGAAGATCTTATTAACGATGTCGATCTGAAAAGGTGGGTGGGCGCCCTGGTCAGCCTCCCACGGGCTGTGCCAGACAGACAAGACTTACATGGAGGGTGGAATCTCACAAGAAAGGCAAATAAGGGCTGGGTAGGGCAGAGCCTTGGGCCAGCTGAGGCCCTGGGGTCCATCCCCAGCCCTGGCTCTTGCAGGGGGCGGGGATTTAAATAAGATGGAGAATACAGCCTTTACTGTTGGTGTAGTATATACTGTTTTTTCTTTCTTATGCTCACCAATCTCTTGTCTTCTAAGTGTTCCAAGTTGTGTGTGCTAAAATAGCAAAACCACACACCCTGTCTGTACAGATTTGATTGAACCGTTTGAAATCCACAGATCTCTTTTAGAGGCAACCACCCGCAGATGTACACTTTTTTTTTTAAAAGGAACTGTCTCTAGGCTGGGCTGGGCCTTGTGCTCACTGCCCAGGCAGCCGCGGGTTCCCGGTTACCTCCTTGTAGTACTGGGCCAGAATGTCATTGAATTTCATCATCATCTGCCGGTTGATGGCCTCCCGGGAGCGGATGTGCTTGAATTTTAACAGCATGTCAAAGGCCGCTTCCGCGGACCGAAGTGTTTTGAAAGAGTCGTCGATAAAATGTTTTGCTTCTTTCTCAATAACCTGCCAGAAGAAAAAGAACAGAAAGAAAGAAAGGGAGTGAGGGAGGAAGGTAGGAGGGAGGGAGGGAGGGGGAGGGGAGGAGAGATTGAAAACCAAAAAAAAAAAAAAAAAAGCAGCTGCTGTCATGGTCTTTCAAGAAACGAGGGACAGGCTTGGGACAGGCCTCTGTCCTGTCTCCATGAGAAGAACTTGCCTGGACTCTGGAATGGCTCAATTGGGAAGTGCTCGCCTTGCAGGCGTGAGAACCTAAGTTGGGACCTCAGGACCCACCTGAGAAGCCTGGGTGGCCACACCTGTAACCCCAGCTCTGCGGGCAGGGCCAGAGACAGAGAACCTGCCGCAAAGGAATATATCGGGTAAGGCAGAGCAAGACAGGCGCCCTCTTCTGGCCTCTGCATGAGTACGCAGATGCATGCAATACACACACACACACACACACACACACACACACACACACACACACACACACAATCTTTAAAAGGCAGGTGGTAAGCATGAGCAAACACGGGTTGAATCGATGGCCGTGTCCCTTACCAGAACCTCCAGCTTGAAGTCATCCATCACGTACTTCCAGTATGGGGAGGACTTGATACTGAAGGGGTCAAAGGTCAAGCTTTCCATCGGGGTGACCAAGCTGTCTACCCTGCAAAGGACATCGTCGATACGCTTGGGGTCCCCCGTCACAGCCTTGAGCTCGGGGCCAAATATGTTGTAAAACTCTTCCATAACCTGGGGGTGGGACAGAATGGAAGGCGGGGTAAGCGTCTTTTGGGTTACTCCGAACATTCTAACCATAAATAAATCGCATTTCCAGATTAACCTGAAGGCAACAGGCCCAACACACAGGCAACCTTCTCCTCATGGGAGCCCCTTGGTGCTATGCCCATGCGACAGGATAAGATTTAGAGGCCCTGGGGCCCAGAGAGATGGCTCAGAGGTTAAGAGCACTGGCTGCTCTTCCAGAGGACCTGGGTTCCATTCCCAGCACCCACATGGCAGCTCACGACCCTTCTGTATCCTTCTCATTCCGGATGCTTCCTGCGTGAGCCAGCCACTTCGACTAAACATGACATCATAGGAGCACAACAGAGTGAAGGGAGCCGCGCTCCTGCAGGCTGCAGGGGTTAGTGGGGTATTGACGGGATGTGAAGTAAGAGCGGCTGAATGTGGCACGGGAGTCTCTGATAGTCTGACAATGTGGAAATGAGATGCACCTGCCAGGCACCCGCCTTTAATTCCAGCACTGAGGAGGCAGAGGCAGGTGGATTTCTTTGAGTTTGAGGCCAGCCTGGTCTACAGAGTGAATTCCAGGACTCCCAGAGCTACACAGAGAAACCCTGCCTCAAAAAACAAAACAACAAAACAAAAAATGCTTATGTATCGTTCCAGTGACTCCATGCTAGAATAAAGGGCTCTATTTATTTATTTTGAGACAAGGTTTTATTACATAGCTCTGAACTGGAACTGGTAACTCTCTAGGTAAACCAGGCTGGCCTCAAACTCACGGAGATCCTCCTGCCTCTGCCTCTCCAGTGCTGGGATTAAAGGCGTGCGCCACCACACCCGTCTATTTTATATTTGGATTTTCTGCCGACTTTGCACCATCTAAAGCTGCGGTGGGGTTGGAGTGTGCCTCAGTTGGTAGAGCACTGGCTTGGCATGCATGAAGCCCTGGGCTCGATCCCCCACCACCACCACATAAACCAGGTGTGCTTGGGTACACCTGTAATTCCAGCACCTGGAAGGTGGAGGCAGGAGGATCAAGAAGTTCAAGGTCTTCAACGACAAAGGGAGCTTGGGGCTAGCCTGGGCTACATGAGACCCCGTCTAAAAAAATAATAATAATAAAGGTTAAAGGAACATAATGAAACGTACAGAAAGAACTTAAAATTTCCATATTCTGCAGTTTCTTGTCTAGGTTGCTGTGATGATATAGCAAAGGAGGAGGATGTGGGAAGAGAACATGTCCTGTTTCAATTATCTTTCCAGGGACGTCCCGTTTTGTCGTGCATGGGTGTGTATATACCCATGTGTGTGCACATGCATCTAGCACATGCTGCACATGCGCGCGTGTGTGTGTGTGTGTGTGTGTGTGTGTGTGTGTGTGTGTGTGTGCATGCATTCGAGTGTGTGTGAGGAACCAGAGGCAGATGCCGAGTATCTTCCTCACCTGCTGCTTCTCCTTGTTTTTGGGTCTCTCAATGAACCTGGGACTTGAGGATTCAGCAAGCCCAGCGGCCACAGAACCCTGGGGACCCACCTCCCTGGCATTTGGGTTACAGCGGGCTCAGCTTAGGCTCTGATGTGGGGGCTGGGGATCTGATCCTTATGCTTGCCAGATCAGGGCTTTACTGACTGACCGGTCTCCCCAGACAGGGGCCCGGCACCCCTGTCTTATACCAGCCACTGGAGATGTGGCTGGCCCTGGTTTTGCTCTCTGTCTTGCTCACTTTGTGTCAGGGGGCAGGGGAAGGGGGAGGTGAGCATGAGTTCAGGCACACTGGGCTCTCCATGAGAGTGCAAAGTGAACGGAGGATGGAACACCTCTAGTCAAGGGCTGCGCTAGCCACCCAGACACTAAGTGTGTGCCCCTCTGCCCAAAAGCTGGGAGGGGTCAGGTCAATGCAGAGTGTGGGGGGGGCGAGTCAATGCAGATGGGGGGGTTCAGGTCAATGCAGAGAGGGGGCAGTCAGGTTA